CGCCGCCAGGCCAGGCCAGCTACTTCCCGCCCCAGCCCGCGCCAATCGGGGCCTCGGGGCCGCCGCACATGTCGCCAAAGGGACCGGCCGCGATGGCCCTGAGGGACGAGAATCTGGGCAGGAAGCCTTCACACAGACAGTCAAAGTCGAATGCAACATCGTCCGGATATGGGCCAACACCAGGGACATCAGCGTCCTCCACGCCAATGTCGGGGAAGCCAAAGATGGGCATGGACGACGGGGCCATCTTCTACGAGCTGTGGGGAGACCTTGTCGGCGGAGAGCCTGGGGGGGAGCCCCGGCCAAAGGAAAAGCTCGTCACCCTGCTGAGGGAGACTGCAAACTACATGGTATGATTTCCTCCATCGCTCCTGATATCACCATAGCAGCAGCAGTCATCTAACAGTGAGTGAGCGAGTGCACAGATCAAAGAACGCCCCGTCAAGGAGAGCATCGTCATCACGCCCGAGAAGATGGTCGACTTCTACACCTGCAACGCCGTCGAGAAGGAGCCCCTCGACTGGAAGCTCTTCTTCACGGGCCGCACGCTGGCCTCGCTGTCGTCAATCTATCGTGCCCTCAACTGCGAGCACTTCTACATGCCCCCTGCGTCGGACCAGAAGCCGTGCATCCCCGCACTCACCCCGCGCGGCTTCGAGACGTGGATGTTCACGCAGCTAATGTCCGACCCCACCCGCGAGGCGCAGCGCCTGCAGAAGGTGGTTTCAAACTGGCCCGTCATCAACCCAAAGACCGGCCACCCGTTCCCAAAGTCGATCCCCCGCCGGTGCTTCCCGGAGAAGGAGGACGCCATCATCTCTGACGGCTGGTGGAGGGTGTGGGAGGAGTTCCCGCGCGACTACAGCGAAGAGTCGGAGGACGAGACGCTTGCCCTGCCTGCACCCGGAGGAGGAGGAGGACCAGGAGGACCAGGAGGACCAGGAGGACCAGGAGGACCAGGAGGAGGAGGCCACCACTATCCGCCGCCGCGAGAGCAGATGACGCCCCCCGAGCTCATGGAGGCCCCATTTGCCCCTGCAGGCCCGCCCCACAGAGGCGCCGGCAAGAAGATCCCCATGACCATGCCCATGTCCTATCCTCCGGACGGCGACGAGGACGACCGCCGCCACGGCCCGTCCAAGAGCAAGTCAAAGGCCCCCCGGAAGCCCGACCCGCACTGGCGGGAGTCGGAGCTCAACCCCCGTCCGATCCTCGGCGAGGAGACCCGCGCGGCACCGCCAACCCGCCCCCACACATCCCACGGCCACCACCCCAGCGTCGACAGCGCCGAGAAGCCGCGCTCCTCACGCCAGCGTGACCGCTCCGAGTACCGTCACCGCCGGCATCAGTCCCGCCACCAGTCCCGCCACAGGCGCGGAGAGAGATCCCCAAGCCCCGACGATGGCGACTGGTCAGCGTCCTCCGGCGTCTCCGCGCGCACTCCTGGCAGCGGCGACGGCCAACTGCTCGATGCACCTGCACCGCCGCCCGCGGGAGGTAGCAAGAGGGCCGAGGAAGTCGTGCGCGAGCAGCGGGAGGCAATGAGGCGCTTCGAGGCGCAGAACGCGCGCAACAGACAATACGACGATTCGTACCCGGATGAGTTTGTACCCCCATCTCCCTCCAAGTACGTATCCCAAGCTAACCTCTCTCTCGCGGCAGCTTCGAGGACAACTTCCGCTCACGAGAGCGTGGCAGGGAGAGAGATGATCGTGACATCGCCGAGTACGCTTACCAGGATGAGTTCGAGCGCGATGTGCGACGGGTATCTACCGGGGGCGCGGCGGCGCCCGCGCCCGGCAGCGACGGTGGCAGGAGGAGTCATCATGGTGGTGGGCGGAGGGAGGGCCCCGGTGGCTTCTACAGGTGAGGCGGGGAACGCGGGGACCATGGTGAAGCTGAACGAGTGGAGGGGCGTGGATCAGGACTTTTTCTATCGGTGTTGTTCGGTCGAGTAGCTGTTTGTAGTTCTTCTTTGACCTTTCGTTCTTTTTTTATTTTATTTTTATTTTTATATAGGGTGCTTGATTTTCCTTTGTGGCAAGAGGATGGGTGGGGTTGGGTTATGATATCCGCTATTCTTTATTTTCTCTTTTTGGTGGGGCTTTTTTTTATTATTTATGTTTGGTCTGTTTGTGAGGTTTTGTGTGTGGTTCTGTTCTTTGTGTGTGAGCGTTATGATTGATGATGATGTCATGAAAAGATAAAAGTCCTTTGTTTTGCTGGTGGTTTTAATGATGAAGTCATGACGATCGATTGCAAAAGAAACGTTTGAGCTTCTGGGCTTGTGAGTGCTGGACTGTGAATTTGGTTGTAGAGCGATATGTTTATAGGGGTCATGTCATGGATGGTAGAGGGGGTTCCAAGCTTGTCGATGTGAAGCTTTTGTTGGTTGGTGTCTGGATTGTAGGGCCTTGATTTGACCACTAGACTGTAGGGTAGGAATTGGTGAAGGGTGTATATACTTGGGCAATTGGTCAGCATCGTTCTCGCGGCTCAGAACGGGCATGGGAGTGAGGTTATCGTAGCTGGTTGCGGTGGAGCTCTAGAGGTACTATAGCAGGTCTGCTGGCTTGAAGAGCTCGCAGGAGCTGAGGGGGGAGGCCATGGGAGGTGAGTGTTGGTAGGGCGGGGATGCATGGCTACTGGGATGGGGCTTTGGGGTTCGGTGTGGTGTGTTTGAAGGACCTTGGTGTTGATTGAGGGGAGGAAGGGCTGTGGTGGTGGTGGTGGTGGTGGTCGTGGTGGTGGTCGTGGTGGTGGCGGCGGTGGTGGGGTAGTGAGATTGGGGCATAGTGGGATTGGGGTAGTGGGATTGGGGGTAGAGGCAGGGCAAAATTTACAAAAGGCCATCCCGAAGCTAATGGCGCCCGTGTTTAATACGAAACATCCGCCAAGTATAAAGAAGATGCAATCTGGTGTAAATGCTTTTTTGTTTTTCGGGGGGGTGAATGGCTCGATTTCTATATAAACATGACCAATTGCGGACGAGAAGCCCATGAGAATCTTCTATGACGTTGAATCTACAGCCAAGTACTTTTACGTGAGGACGTTCTTAGGGCTCGGAAGCCACGAAATCGACAATTGTTGTTTGATACCTATTTGGCTCTTTTTGAATAATCTCAAACATCAGCAGGCGATCTGTTTTTAACTATCGTGATGAGAGCTGCACGATCGTCTTTTTTTCCAAGTCACTTGGGGATCTCAATCAACTAATCATCACTCCCAATATGGCGTCCTGGCACCGAGTGATATTGTATGATTAAAATGCTTGTGGACGGTTGAAGGATCATAATAGTGTACCGGGAAGGACAGTCTCTCTGCTGTGCTGCAGAAGATCCTGCTAGAATACCTACTATATGGTGCTACGTGTATGCTCCCTGCTGCTGCTGCGTCTTTGGTTTTGGGCTTATAGCACTCGGAGGCGCATGTCTTTCATATAATTCTATACATGTAGCAGAGATGTGAGCCTGTATCAAGACTGATATAGGTGCGCCAGCACTGTTACGCAAGGGGGTTCGGTTCGGCTTGTGAAATATATTTCACCCCTACATAGAGTACTCTACAGGAGATGTGTTTCGGGACGGGATCAGATTCGTAGTCATGACTATGGGATTAGCACGGGATTTGAGAGTAGGTGACTTTGTTTGAGATATATATCTTTGGAAATTGGGAGCTTCCGAAACATAGCTGTCTTTGGAGACTACCTACCCCGCTCTGTACCTTTTTCGACACAGGGTGTCTAGGGCCCCTTTTAGGGGTTTTTGCTAAGGGCTACACAGAGGGGCATCGTGCCGGTTTCTGGGCTTGGGGGCGTTATGGTGGTGGTGTCTTTTCCACGCGAGCATGTCGACGTCGATTCCACGCGAGCATGATGATGCGCGCGTGGGAGATCGGGTGGGATCACACGTTTTATTCAAATCGACAGGGTATTGGCCACTGGCGGGGATATGGCGGGGTAAGTGTTTTGCATGTGATTCTCGCACATGGATGAACCAGCAATCTCTTCTGCATGGGAAGGAGTGTTCGGGTTGAGTGAGAGAATTCATCCAGCTGGCCATGGCCCGCTGCCTGTCCCAACAAGTCTTAAAATGTATCTTAGAATGAACATATTGCTCAACTCAGTGTCTTGAATTGGGCATAGGAGATTGGGGATGCCTAATCCTGTGGACAGAACTCATTCAAAGGGGAGGGCCGATGCATGGCAGCGCCTGTGCAAATTTGGTCTTGAGAGACAGTTGGTTCTCACAGTGATCTTATGAATTGTAGTGCTACCACGTGTAGTATGCGCGTTGTTCGTTATCTGCATGCGCATAAACTGTCAGAGGTTGGCACTACGAGATGCGGTGAAGGAACGGGATTTGTTTAGGGATTAGGATTGATAGCGTTATGTACCTACATACATACATCCCGCCAAAACTCGAAAAATTGGCTATCTCCGCCCAGGGATTATCTCTAAAACGATTGGCTGAAGGGTATCGATCAGCATTAGAAGTATCCGTTTGTAGCAAGTTTGATCTTGTATGCATAGCCAATTTTTCGAGTTTTGGCGGTAGTATGCTTTATCAATGTAAAGTATGTAGCTGGATATTCACGCTCTATAGTTCCTAGCGTACACATGTGGCTTTATAATTATTGGCATTGCAAACTGAGCCGTACAAGAAGTCGTTGAAGTCAATACTTATATATTTTGAGTACAATTCAGCCTAATTATAACTAAACGCTTAGTAACTCTGAATCTCTTAGTTGTAAGGTCTCACTACATCCGTTTTGGGATCGCTTTTGAATTCTAATTCTGCCCAGTCCCAGAAGCACCGCGTGTGTCATCATGTACCGGGGTAAACCATAAATACCGAGAATCTGATAAGATAAACACACCTATTTCAGAGCAAGATTCTCTTATCAGATTCTTTTTATTTGCCCTCAACGCCCGGTACTCGAACACACGTGGAGAGTGGAAATTTCACAAAACGATATTTGATAATTCTAATTTTTCACTAGACGTAGTTTCATGGTTATCACACAAGTCTAACACGCTTGTGGTCCCCGGTTCGAGCCCGGGTGATATCATTTTGTTGGCTCTAATGCCCGATACCATTTGTTTTGGAGCTCTCAGGTATTCTTTGGCAGCCGAAACATTGGAGTTAGTTTAGTAGCCGAAATCCGAGTTACAGCGTCCCGGTTTGTGAGACACCAAGACCTCGCGTAGGGACAATTTGCTCAGCAGGGTATCTATGTGTCTATCTTTCGTGAGTTATCAAAGCGGGCGCTACATGATTAGTATGAGGAGAAGGGGAATCAGGACAGATTCATCCTTTTCTATACCTGCCCTCAGTGGCTGACCTCCTAGGACGTAGAGATTTGGGGGGACGTTATTTCGTCGGAGACCGTTTGCTGTTGGGCAATGGACCGGATCATGATCGATACGCCTAGGTCCTTGCAATTGAGCTTTGGGCAAAGGTAGCTGGCGATCCATGGGATTAGCACTATCATTGGCTATTATTGGAAGGGCATCTAATGCATGACGAACCAACCTTTCGTATAACATTGAGGGCCTTGAAGCACTATGCACGCTCGTTAATACTTTCCGTGAATGATATTATATATATGCGAGAAGATATATATTGATGTTTGGCTTCATTTTACCAAAAGTGAGGGAACGTTTCCCGAAGAATCAGGGACCGAGGAAGGCATTAGCCCGGCACCATTCCAAGCAGGAACAGGTACATCCTGTCGATCGTGTTTGCCTCGTGGGAATATTTTCCGACATAGGTCCGATAGGGCTATAGGGCCGGAATTCCGGCGGGTTAGGGTGGTAATTCTGAGTGTCTCATCGTAGCTAGGAGGCCGAGGTGAACACAAAAAGGGAATGTCGTTCTGCCTCATCGAATCAGTTATTACCTAGACCATGCAGAAGGGACCCACTGAACCGTCGTTCGGGAGTTTTGGCATAGGCCCAGATCCACTTTGCACATGTATGTACCACCTACTCGCGGCAGGCATGAAGAACCTGAATATAAAAACGCGCTAATAGAAGTCAAAGTAGTGGCCACGAGAAAAACGATGTTCAGGTTCTTCATGCCTATCGCGAATAGAGTAAGGATTCGAATGTAGGGGGTTAGGGACGGTTGCTTTCAAAAAAGAATCGATCTTGTACAATCGATATCATTAACGTCGTTTCAGCTCATCTAATCGTTGTGACGTCGCCAGTTAGAATTTCCCATATCAACTGCATTAGTTAAGGTGTTAATTACTCACCCTGTGATATTCAGAGCTCAGTGAAGGTTGACTTAAGGTGTGGTTCCTGTAATTACATGTAATTACCTAAGGATTTGGGTGACTTTCTTCGGAGCAGTTCCTACATATGAAGTTCTGGCTTATCTGGTTCGAGATGGCGCATATTGCATGTACCTACACGCTTACTAGCAGAAAAATGTAGTTGCTCAAGGCAAAGATTATTTGTATGGAGTGGCGGCGATCCCTCATACAAATTATCCAATTATCCTTGTCCCACCGCTTACATTTTCTGCTTCTTTTGCTGGTAAGCGTGTATCTGGATCAATTAGTGAATCACTCTAAAGAACCCAACTACCATCTCCTTAACCGCCTTACGGAGGTCGTTTGGGAAATCACGGCCGCGGAGATATCTTTTGCTGGGTGAGGGTGAGGGGGAGGGGGAGGAGGGAAGAGGGGGGGGGGGGGGTGCGGAAACTTGGCACGATTTGAATAATTCAAAGGGGCCGTACCTACTCTGAGTATGTAGGTAAATACATATGTATGTATTACCGGTTCATGATATTGAAGCCATGCACCGACTACGAAATAACTTTAAATTTCCCAGGGACCGTAGGTCGGGGCCGGGAACCCACGTAGGGTAAAGTGGGGTGCGGATTAATTGCTTTTCTTACTCTCTCTTGGGAACGGCGCCCCGTCCTGCAGGTGAGGACAGATTCCCCACTCTTCACATGGCGCTGTGGAGAACGAGGCGTGGTTTGTACCAGGGTTGACTCCCACCCACTACTAGGGTAGGTACATGTATACAGGTAGTTATTCTACTTCTCGTTAGGCCCCCCCAATAGTGATCTGGTATTAATACTCTCCTTTGAATTCTACTCCACCTGCGGGATTTTTGTGGCTGTCATTTATGCGGGGTTTACCATGGTGCAAGAAGGAATAGAGGGCGACATTGTCAACCCTGTATAATACACCACTTCAGTCAATTCTTTCATTGGCTCTGGGAAGCAAACATCAAAGAGCCTCACCTCTAACTCGACTTTATGGTTGACTCTCTTGGAGGGTTCACATACCGTTTTTGATGGATTCATGATCGAGTATTAACAAGTGGGATTATACTTACACCGCTATGCACCTAATTATGATTTTGGGAAATTAACTAGAATTATATTGACGTACCTGCCCAACCGGTGATTTCCAAAATCAAGTGTCGCTAAGAAGTAATATTTACAAAGAGAACTGCTGGAACTAGAAGACAAACATAAAAAGTATAAACAAGATACGTATTAATTATTCATCATGAGTTAACTTTTGAATTCTCTACGTAGACGTTACTGCTACTCAAAACCTCCAACCGTATACCACCCGACTCCACATCTTGTAATGTGTCCCGGGAGATAGTCAGGTCTATCTCGCTCTGGCTTTCCACCGTCATCACGACATCCGTCCTCTTCATGATACCCATCCCCATCTCCTCCTGGACAATCCTTTCCTCACTATCGCATTCCCCGTAAAAACTTCTATCCTTGGACGAAGTAATATGGGTTGAAGCTTGATGTCCGGGCGGCAAAGGTGCTATGACGCCTTCTACAAATCTCCTTCCAACTCGGTACGACGTGGTACCATCGCTCCCTCGTCCCTGATACACCTCGGAGCTATCTGGGGTTTTGGAGCCCAAGAGCCCTGGTGCATATTTTCGAATCAACGGCTTCAACGATGGCCCACATGCTGCTATGACGATGAGAGTGCTTTCGACATAGTACCATACAATTGCATCCGTTATATCCCCTGTTGAAGTTAGTAACGAGCTAGGAAGTTAGGTGCCTCAATATATATTCTGTCAATACATACAGGTTATGTCTTTACTTTTGTTAAGCGCAGGTAACTTGAGAACCCTTACTAAGCTGATTATGCACACCCTAAATTATAAAATCACTCAATTGAATCAGAAACTTATCAAGATCTCAGAAAACAAACGATTGCTGACTTACACTCCTCCCAATGAAAACAGCCCGCATAAACCCATTTTCTGCCTTCTAGGTAGCTCACTATATCAAACTGTCAGTGACACTTTCGAATTTGTCTTGAATCAAGAACACCTACAGTGACAAAAGGAGCGGCATAGGGAGTATAGTGATGACCACGTCAAGAAAGATGTTCAGACCGGCATGAATGAAATAGAATACGACAAGGTCCCAGCACTTTCCTTCCGGATCGGCACCTGGGAACAATCGATTCCATTGGTGGTTGGCCGGTTTGCACTGAAAGATAATAATTACTTCGCTGATAATCCCGATGACAACCGTAAGTGTAATGAGTATGATCGTTGAAATCCGAAACCAGGTTGGCAGGCCACCACAGCGAGGGCCCCCGATTCGAAGGTAGAAGAATAACAGTGAAATCTTTGCAAACATTATCTGCAAAGTGTAGCTCTTAACATGCCCCCATGAATGTTAGATATACTGATAGTCGATCCTGAGGACTGGTGGAATATTGTTTACTGACCTGACTACTACCCCAATTCGCCTAATCAGAAGTTAGTGATTTTCGCTAGTATAGTTTTTTTCTTTATATTTTGAGAGTTTATATTTACCTGTATAGTCTTTCTAACATTGTCTGGGGTAAGATCTTTGAGATGCATTCCCAACCCATGTTTTGCAGCTAAGATGGAAGAGCGGTCAGTCAAAAGGCTACGTTCATATAAAATCAAACCAGATGGAGTGCATTGGTAGCTACATACCAACAAGAATACAAATAAGATAAGCCAACGTCAATAGCTAAATCAACCAACAATCAGCCGTGCTTTCGACAGGTCTCCGGGAAGTTCTGTACATTTCACATGCGAAAATGGGTGCTAGCTAGGCTTTCTGGGAGAGATTGTCTACCTACTTCCGCAATCACGATCAACACTTTTTCATTATCCTCAGCATAATCCATTGGTTATACAGGAGCGCGGGGAGGCTTACTATCATCGATACCAAAAGATCTTATTATCCTTGACCGAGTGTACACTCTCAACGATGTTGCAATGAAGCTAATTATCCCAAGTACTGGGCCCGCCACCCATATCATATGCTGTTTGCTTTCAGTCATCTTTTCGCAGACTTTTGGCGGGGAGTGCGAAGTAGATCTAGAATCGGGGACCAAGGTACGTAGTTGTGAAGATATTTAAATCTGCGCGAGCCTCCGCTACGAAAGAACCTGGGGCGGCCTGCCACCTTTTATGGCATCAGCCAATATCGTATATAGGGTTAAGGTTTCTTCAAGCTCACGGACACCATCCAAGAGGGTACGGGTGGGTGCCAAGAGAATATATATCAGCGGGTATGTATAGAAGTCAACTGTCCATAAAGATGTACCTACATTTACTATGGCCATAATTCTGTAGCATCGATCCCCAGGTTCTTCTTGTGAAGGATTACTGTCCTCGCATATTTTGACTAAAATTACAGCGGACACCCCTATTCTGGGACGCTGATCATTAATGATTGTGCTTTGATGTGACCAATGCCAAACACCAGCAATCAAATCAAGAAGCAGAGCTCAAGACCGAATTTACGTTGACACCAACCATATCGAGGCCATCCAGTACTCTATGTGGAAAAGAGAGCTAGCTAGAAAAGGTTAGCAAAACCGCAACACACCTCTGACCTTGGGGCACAATTCAATTCAGGGGTGGACAACTTACAAGCATGGAATATTACGCGAGAAGGTATCAGACGCATTTATGATCTCTGGAGACGGCGGGAAGCGCCGAGCCTAGCGCACGGAGAATAAGGTTACTTGGCTCTTGCAATGAGATCTTGGTGCAAGGCAGTTAAGCTGTCAGTGGCTGT